GATGCCCATGGGCGTGAGGGGCCAGCTCCTAGCATGGGTCACTCTGATGCCCATGGGCGTGAGGGCCCAGCTCCTAGCATGGGTTACTCCCCAAGGTCAGGCCTGCAGGGCCAGCCCACCAGGTGGGGCTTCGGGTGGTGCTGGGCACTGGTGCTGCCATAGCCCCGTCCTCAAGGCCACCTCCCTTCCCTTTCAGTCACTTGTGCACACAGGATCCTCCAGGTGACTGCTTGCCCCCTCCTGTACCACCTGGACCCTGGGAGTGGCGGGGAGGGGGAACCCAGGGGCCAGGAAAGCCCTCGCCCAAGCCCATGCAGGGTGGTGGCTGCTGGGAAGGAGGTGCCTGGCAGGGAGCTGGCACCTAGGGCGCCTCCTTTTTCCAGTGAGCATAGCGGCAAAGGTGCCAGGCGAGGAGATGGTATCCCGCTGGCTGCTCCCGCAGGCTCTCTGAACTTGAAATAAAAAGACTGCACAGCAAACTTGATCTATGCATCCAAGTGAGCCCAGCCATGCGTGTGGAGGAGGGTGGAGGAGCTGGAAGGCCGGTGCAGAGATGGCTGGGGTCAGGGACGCTGCTGAAGGCTGAGGATGGCCTCAGAGCCAGGGCTGGGACCAGAGAGCTCGCTGCACCTGTGTCCCTCCCTGGGTCCTTTAGGGCTGGGCCTGGAGCTGCTTCTCCCTCAGGGACCCAGGACAGGTGGGGGACTAACTTGGCACGGTTGGGGCCAGAGCCTGGAGCCTGGAGACAACCATGGGCCAGGGCTGGACCAGGAAGCCAGTTCCAGTGTCAACCAGAATCTGTACTGAGTGTCAGTGACTGGCATGGCCCCTGAAGGAGGGCACAGCCCATGCCCAAGCTCGGGAGCTTAGAGTGCTTCTGGCTTGGAGGGCTGGCAGGGGCCCCAAGGGTGAGAGCCTGAGGGCTCTCCTCGGCCCAGGAAGGGGACAGCTGGGCTGGAAGTGGGCGGGGTCATCATGCTGACTGAGGCGGGTGAGTGCACCCCGAAGCCCATCTGCAAGGCTAGGTGCGCACTTGGGCACACACATGCACCACTGATCTATGTGGACATGTGGGCACACATGGCATACACGTCCCTCCCCACCTGTCCCTTAGCACTGTGGCCTCAGGAAGGTGGCCCTGAAGCCTGGCCCAGGCCCGGCAGCTCCCAAGGTACACTTGCCAGAGACTTCAGTGCTGGGTGTCTGGCCCTTTGCCCCTCTCCAGGGGGCTAGGACAGATGGAGGCCAGGTACCATTGCCAGGGGAGGTGCCCGGGGACTGTGACAGCACACATGGGACACAGGGTGACCCCAGGCCCACAGCACTGTGGGACACACGGGCCCCACTCCAGAAGCACAGTGGGGTCGTCTTCAGGCCTCCACACAGGCCGTGTCCACTGCAGCCAGCAATGGTTGTGCTGAGGCCGATGCTGGGCCAGCTCTGCTGGGAGAGGTGCCGAGCCCGGGCCACGAGGCCGCCTCCTGGGTCCTGCCCACCTGTGGACTCCGCCTGGCTCAGTGCCTGGGCCCGATGGTGCCCACAGTGGGTGGGACAGGGAGATTTAAATGCAGCGCCTGCCTGGCCTGGGCTGAGGGTGGTGAGGATGAGGCTGCTGCCCGCCCTGGCCCTGCTGCTG